ACGAAGAGAGTCTTGTCACAGCTCAGAGCCGTTGCGCTTCCCGAGAGAAATCTGCCTTCAAATTGAGCAGGATTTTCTGCATCGCCGACACGTTTGCCGCATTTATCGAGGTACCATACAAATATCACGCCATCAGCACCCGCAGGCTCGGAGTCTTGAGAAAGAACCACATAATGGGCTTCTTGAATGTTCCCTTTGTCCATTTTCCAGAACTTAATGGCTTGAACCGTCTCTTCGTGTCCACCAAACTCAGCCGTCAATAATTTCAACTCGACAGTGTAGATTCTAATAGCGGTGTTCGTTGCAATTGCCATGAACTTCCCATCTGGACTTTTTGTTAGCTCCGCGCTTGACTTCTCGGCTAGTTCTGACATGGGGTCATTGTCATCTAGCCTGAATGCATTAAGCTCGTCGCCCCAAAGCTGAGGGCCGCCGTTGGTTGAGGGAGCCCATGAAGCTGCTACACCATCGCAATCAAATTCTTTATCGAGCTTGAGTTCGAAGGTTTCGATGAACCGGTCAAAGTCCATATACTCTTCCGACATGTTGATGATATTTCCTAGCGCTTTCTTCAGTAAGGTATGCAGCGTGTGGTCGATGCAAGTCGAAGCTGGAAGTAAGAGTTAAATTTTTGTTTGCATGTCACTGATGTGACCACTTATCCCCAATAATGGATGCGCGAAGTGAAAGAGGGGGCGGTGGGGTAGCGCTCGCGGACTTGCATACACAGTGACACAGTAACACAGTACGGCTAAGGCAATGTAAAGAACAGTGCCTTGTGCTGGCCTGTCAGGATGATCAGTGCCGTAAGCAGCTAGATTTCTCGGATAGTGAGACTTCCGGTATTAGACTAGAACCAAGGGGAATCGGGAGGGGGGCCTCACAGGCATGAAGAAGAGGCATAAATTGAAGTATTCTTACAGGTCTGTCAGGGAAGAAATCCCTCATATCTATCAATTAAACCATCATCGATTATCATTAGTTATCACAGTCATCTATTGACTTGAATCTATTACTACCGGTTTCCACTGTTGCAAATTGCTCTCATCTGCTCATGAATGCAGCTAGCAACATGTTTATCATTATAAGAGAATCAGAAATAAAAGACCTTAAGCCTAGAACTGTTCAACGAAATTTTGACGACCTCTCCTACTGTATATTTCCGCTACATGTCATCCACTATACTGTACTTTTGCTTGTACTTATATGCATATGTACTATATACGAAGACTATTACCTGCAATGCATACATTCCGCTGACTGCCTTGCGATCGCCCGCTGCAGCCTGATATAAGTCATCTGCATTCTGAGGCAATGCTGACTTGTGTCTGGTGCCAAGGTAACAAGAACCACATCTTCTTCTTAGGGCGTGATTCAATCCACATCTGTTTTCCCCTCTCCTTCCTCTCCCCGTTTTATCTGCATCTTCTATATTCCGCTTATTCTCTTCTCCTATCTACCCCAAAATACATCGCCCTCTAGGAGAAGTATGGGAAAAATTCAGACTTCGAAATATTTGCTGAATAAATTTGAGTGTGAATAATAAGTCCAATGCATTTTTGTCTTCTAAATGTAGTAGAATATAGAGCTATAGAGCTAGCTATTTATACATAAACATAACTCTGCATGGTTTAATAACTGTAAAGTTATTTATGTTTACTATAATTCTGCACGGTCTAATAACCGCAGACTCTTCACTATCCATCTGCAGGACAAATTTCAGATTCGACCACTCCTCCTGCAACTCTATAAGCTTCTACCTCGAGTTATGTTCACATAGACAGCTAAGCATAGGCTCCGTACCATGAATACGTAGTCCTAACCTGACAAGGGCAGGACGAATGCGGGTTGATATCAATGGTTCTCTCGTTTCCTTTTTCGCAAGAGTGGTGCGGCCAAATGGTATACCTCAAGTGCTTGGCCGTGTCTAAGGGGGAATCAATCAGCGAGCCGAGAAAAAGTCCGCCTGTCATCTAAACAATTAGAAGGCATTTATTTGGATTTCATTCGGCGATAATTGGCAGTCCATGCATCGCGTCGCAGTAGCCACCACGTCGCAGTAGGCCAGGCTGTGTCGCGGTACAGCCGGACGAATCGACAAGTATAAGCAATACAGTGCGCTTAGCAAGAAGGCCGTGTTGCCGTAAGCTGCAATCTCCAATTGCCGAACCAATAAAGCTTGAAGACTCCTGCAAGGTGGGTGGCTACAGTAGCAAATTAAGTCGCCAGGACAGCATCCGTAAGCAGGTGAGATATTGGATGTGTGTCTCAGCCATTGCAGCAATCACAGCTTTCTTCCTCCTATCGACGTCTAGGGCCTTCTTTGCACTGCCTCACTATCCGAGATACTGTCTCGCTTTCCCAGATATCTAGATATTTACTAGTATTGTACTGATCATCCTGACAGGAGCTATTCTCATCTCAACAATTACAAACTGGGCAGTCTCAATCGTCTGTCCGACACTTCTGCCCGCCAGAGTGTATGCAATCCCAAGACGAACTGTCACGATGTGGGCAATTGTCACGACTTGAGTTCTGATATAGCAAAGTGAAGGACAAGACGTAGAAACGAGGTAGCACTCTATTATTGACTGTCTTAATCTCTGACCTTCTTCCTAAAGACTTGGTCCTTTCTCGCCACCCAGCCGCGAAGAGTTTACTAGCTGCATGATACTCTCCTCCGGTAGCCTTAGGTGCGTCACTAGCTCTACAACCCCGCGAGGATCATCGAAGGTCATTGAAGGTGGTGGTCTCTGACAGCAGTGCAGTGGAATGTTGTCCTTGATTTCCGTCCAGTTTGCAGACAAATTTGACGCTACTTATAATGAATTCCTCTTCTAGGATTTCCGTCAGGCCCGCTCAAGGTCATCTAATTCGATAGTTTCCCGTTGATGATTCTGTGGCTGCCGCTAGTCTCCTATTAGAGCTAAACACATATATTGTAGCTTGCAACTAATCTTTTCTGCTCGAGTTCAGCTCCGCCATTGTGTTCAATAGTGTGGCTTCCCAGAAATATCGACGACGTCTTTGCTATTCTGACATAATTCATTGAATTCCACGAAGTTCTACGTAATTCCGTATGGGTGTTGGTCGAAGTGCTACATGGGGGCGTCTTTATTCGAGTAGGTCTATCCGGAGCTGGAAGGGAATAACACGAAATATAAGTTGTGCGGTACCTAACCTCCTCAAATCTAGCGCTCATGGTGGTGTAGTCTACAAGGTACAATCGGACACCAGATACAATCACTTTATTAATATATTAGTATTGCTCCGCAACAGGAACAACTAAAGCGGCCTGTACCTAAGCTGTTGTTGAGCTCTAGTGATACTTAGCTTTTTCGGGGTAATTACTACTATTATTATAATAGCGCTTAGCTCTCTATTATCTAAATTATAGTTTGCTAAGACACTAGAATCTAGGAGACAATAATTTATATATTTTAACGCGCCTCTTTAATTCTTTCTGTTAAATACCTGTATTCTTAATCCTATAATACTATATCTTAATAATGCCTTACTTAACTATAACGCAGCAGTACCTATGCATATATATAGCTAATTTTCTAGATAAAACTTACTTCTTATATTAATATCTATATATAGTAAGGCAAGGTCTATGTTACTATAGTATTATAGTTATAATAGTAGTAATAAAGGTATAGGCAGTAGGTATCTTTATAAGCAGGGTAATATAGGGTTATAAGGCTAGTCCCTTATAAAGGACTTTATCTATTAGCTTACTTATCTTGAATTTCCTTAAAGTATAAGTAATCTTTACTTACTTATAAAATAAATTTACTTTCTAGAATATAGTAACGTAATATAGCGTATAGCAATATATATTTAATCCCCTTTTGTATTACATCCCACGAGCTCCTTACTTATGCTGCTATCCCCGCGATTTATTTATTATATTAGTAGCCACTTTCTACGTAGCGGTATTAGCTAGTATGTGGGCGGAAATGATCCTCTAGGGTGACAAGGTTGCATTCACGTGAGTTGTGGATTTGGCCAATTTGGTCAGATCAAATAGTATAGCTATAAGTAGTGCGATTATGCCCTTCCAGAGGCAACAGCAATCATCATCAAGAATTGACAGAAATTTTTCCCCGAAGTTTACTTGGCTTTCACGCCTCACATATTCATTCATTGTTTTGTTTAATTGAAGTGAGTAGCTGCTCCATAAGTGGCAGGAAACCTACACAACCATTTGATCTCGGCAAGAGAAAGGCTACTACGAATTACTGGAGGCCTTTGCGAGAAGCCTTTATCCAAGTGTACGGAGCGTTGCTGGGTGTGGGTCAGACCTCAGTATACGTGAGTGTTGGGGTGTGCCTTTTGGGTCGACAAACTAGCTATATAATATAATTTGTGCGGGGATTTGAGCACCCCTAGGGTAGCTACGTGGAGGAGAGATTGCTCCCTTGCAAAGGAAACGTTAGTCAGCTTCTGATCAGTGTATTTATAGTCAGCACAGTTGCCCTCAGAATAAAAGAAAACCATGCCTTCTTCGTGAAGCAAATTAACACTTTTGTGATTTAGATCGCATCTTTTTTTTTTTTGAGCTTATTATCACTGACACTGACTACTTGAATACTCGAATCATCTGATCAGAAGAAGTAAAGCAAGACTGCAAACCAATTGAGGAATAACCCAAACGTCTCAAGATACAGAAAACCGTCCTTGGCCCGCGATCAAGACTGCGTTTCTAGCCACAGTCTTCACAGCAAGATAACAGGACTCTGGATACACGAACCAAATGATCAATTGACATTGAATAGTACGACTAGCCATACAGGTTGTTTGGTGTGTTCCTTTCTTCCTGACAAAATAACATAGCTTAGGAGCCTTATAAGTAGAAATATAGACGCTACTGCGTGTGCTAGGTACGTAAAGAAGGATAATACTGCGGCTAAGAAAGAAGAGGTTAAACCTTGCTACCTTAGCTATAAATACTATCCTTATAATGCTAAAGTAGTCGCACATCGTTAGCGGTTAGTAGTTTCGTGGTCTAGTTAGTTATGACACCTTGCTAACACTAAGGTGGTCCCCGGTTTAAACCTAGGCGAAACTAAAAATTATTTATTATTTATTTTTTTAATTTTATTTTAACCTCTTTTGCCTCTTATTAAGTATTACCTAATTAGTTAGATAACTATTAGTTTCGTGGTCTAGTTAGTTATAACACCTCGCTAACACTGAGGTGGTCCCTGGTTTGAGCCCGGGCGAAACCAAATTTTTTTTAGGTGCTTGCTATCAAGCAAAATTCTTTGCATTATCGTGTCGATAAATCCACAGCTTTGGTGGAGATTCGCGATTATGCGGTCAGCTACCGCTTTGGCGGGTGAGTGCTCCCTGTGTGAATGGTCACGAACACATTCCATGGACTAATTCGCTGTAGGTGGGGGATTTCCTGCATCGGCCGTTTTATTTGCCAGGGTGATGAACGCATTCTGTTGGGATAACTTGGAATGTGTCCGTAAGAGACGCATATTGCGGGGCATCTCACGTGAGCACCTTACGGCCACGATATTTATATCGTGATACTGGCCCTTCAACTCTCACTTATTTTCCTTTTCTTAGATAGACACAGATTATTTAATATTCTCACTTTGACCGCAACAGTATCGATACCTTGCACAGTAACCCTGTGCAACCCACACATTCACACTTCCTACAGGCGAAGAAATGGTGGAACAAAGCGACTTTTGCGGCCTGTTTCGTACAATCGACCGAGAAAGTCTAATCGATCCTATGTCTAGAAGTGGCGAGCACCCCGCCTACTGTAAGGGACACATTGAGGTACAAGATGTTCACTTTAACTACCCTACCCGCCTAGATGTAAAAGTTCTCCGAGGTCTCAGTATTACAATCCCGGCAAACAAGACTACGGCGCTTGTCGGCTCAAGTGGTTCGGGAAAGAGCACCATCATTGGCTTGCTCGAGCGGGGGTATAATCCCTTGAGTGGCAATGTTCTCCTAGACGGCAAGAAAATAGATGACCTGAGCGTAGCCTGGTTGAGGACAAATATACGACTGGTGCAACAGGTAAGACCCAGATGCTGGCTGCCCAAACCGAGAGGCTCACATGCACTACTAGGAACCCGTGCTCTTTATGGGCTCGATCTTTCAGAACGTTTCTTATGGCTTGGTCGGCACTGAAGGGGAGAACGCATCCGAAGAACAGCAAATGAAGCTGGTGGAGGAAGCTTGCCAAGCTGCATATGCCCATGACTTCTCCAGACGCTACCGGAGGTTAGAAGATATCAAAGTCAACGTTCTAAACTGTCTGTGTCTCCTAGAATCTGGAATACAAGATGGGCCATTAACAGACGCTCGTAGAGAATAATCATTGGGTTTTTCTGGAACAGCCACAAGTACCCTAGCAACCATAACGAAGTTGTCCAACACTATGCTATCGTCTTCCTCCATAGCTTGTGCGTCAGCCGCTTCAGGGCCTTCCGACGGTATTAGATACGTGACAAACAAAACCGGCGCGGCCGATGCGAACAACATCCACAAAGGCTGGCTGCCGGAGCCTAACACTTGGAAGTTCATGCCCCACATCGAACATACAAATGACAGTGGTATAAAGATTGTACCGATCATAGTGAGTCTCTGCACCGTCATGGCCATTTCCGCAGAACGCCTCGATTCTTCGAGGACCGAGCTGTCAGCCAAGGTTGACATGCCCTGTTCACACTCTCTGACTAGCATCTTGGCGCGTTGGAGTAGATGCTCAAAGTCGGCCTGCAAGAGCACCGCCGTCTTCTCCGCTGTGGCAATATTGTCGACGCGGGGCCAGTCGAGTGAACGTCGGTTCTGGAGAATACCGACAATCTCGGCAAAGCCTTGGGCATGTGAAGTGAGGAGCGCCTTGATGTATTTTAGATTCAGCAGAGATATGGAATGGGAACGGCCACCGATGTCTTCGACCGCGACGAAAGAGAGCTCTTGTTCAATTCGGTTGCTGAGGAAGTTGAGAAATTGGATATTCGCCGAAGCAGCAAAAGTGAACAACTCTGACAGAGCGTACAGCGCATCGCGGCTAGCGAGTTCTCTGTCGAGACAAGAGCCGTATTGGAACGGTAGCAGACAGATGTTCTGAGCCGCCCTCCACTCCTCTTCTGTCTTGGAGGCGGTAGGAGTCGGCTTTATCGTATCGGTGCCGACCGCATCTTCTCTAGATGGCACCAAATCCTCTGTAGCCTGGTGCGGAGCCTCAGCGGCATGGTTCACGACCACAGGCAAGAAGTACGTCTCCCAGGCTCTCGCGTCTGGTCGAGGATTCCACGGACCGGCAACGCTCTGAGAGAGGTCTCTTCCGTTGTCCATCCAGACCATCGCCCGCCAATCGTGCCCTGGCGGTCCAACTTCAACCGTGATAGTCTGCTCCAGAACATGATCTTGCTTGCTGAGTAGCGAGCACCCTCGAACGACAGAGTCGGCCACCTTGGCCCTGGTGCGTAGCCGCTGGAAATATCTCTTCATGGATTCCACGTTTTCGTCACGATCTCTTTGGAGATTTTCCGGCTCGTAACCGGAAGCACCGCCATTTCGGCTACATATTGTCGGGATGGCAAGCTGGAATATGCGGGCTGATGACGACGGCAGCAACGGCGACGAGTACAAGTCGCGGAAACCGTATGTGAAGGCTGGGAACGCCAGGTGCCACCTGTAGAACTCCGGGCTGGCTCTGCATTTCTCACCGATAGTGGTCAGCCACTGAGGTGAGGCAAAGCCGCGCAAGAACAAGAGCGATGAGCTCGGGGGGTTGGAGTGGGCCACAAAGTCAGCCAAGCTGGCCGGCGACGAACACGGCGTCAACTAATGTAATTAATTTCAGTCTACGGCTGACAACGCACGCAGGGGCTAACTTTTGAGGCTGCCACAGACCAAGCTACCTGTGTTACAGGTGGCCGGGTACGACGACTATACTCCGTGTCTACCAACAGCATGTAATGAGTGGTCCAACTCACGCCCACACCAACTGTGAGACTCCGTACCAGTAGTCTATGGCAGTTCAGTGCTCCTGGTGAGGGCCTCCTCTTGTCAAGAACACCGGCCTGATTCCTGCCTAGGCAAGCGAAGAAGCTCCAGCTGAAATCTAGGAATCCACTGATTGGACGACACGAGGCTGGATATGAACTGATGGCTCAAATTTACAGACGATAGGTATTCCTCGTCGCAGCTTGTCAATGATGTACTGAATTCCTTGTTCTTTCGCGCCTTTCGCGCGAAAGATTGAAGCTCTAGTCTTGTACCTGTTTTCTCTCTAGCCAACCTAGTTTTGTTGCAGTTATGAGCACTATGAGCAATTTTGAGCAGTAGAAATTGGTAGCCATGGATTGGATTCAATTGATGACTGTGATAACTGATGATAATCGGTGATGAAAAAGTGAATGAATTCCTTCTCTGACGACCCCTTAAGAATGCTTCAATTTATGCCCGCCTGAGGCCTCCAGCAGGAGGCCTCCCGCTTCCCCTTGTTTCTGGTCTGATACTGGAAGTCTCACGATCCGAGGAATCTAGCTGCTTACGGCACTGATCATCCTGACAGGGAGCTATTCTCGTCTCAACAAGTTTTGCTCATCATCTGGTCGTCCCTGTAGTAGCGCATAGAGTCTTCCTGACATTCCACCGCCAATCCATTCTCTGAAGAGCTCTATTTGGGAATTCCAGCAATGTCCAAGCAACGCTCAATAAATTGAGCTTCCAGTCTTGACTTCTGTAGCCAAGCCTCCCGCTTTCATTCCCTTCTCCACAAGATGTGTGAGGATGAGATCTGTTCCCGGAGGTCCAATCACGGAGACCGCAATCGGAAGAGGTTCCTCTCTCTTGGTCACGACGGAGTTGTAAGGAATCTCGCCGATAGGCGCAGTGACCTCGGGCGCGCGCATCATGGGAGACATGTTCAATGCCGCATAGCCGCTCAGCAGAGGAAGATAGCTCCTGATACATGTCCTTGGTCAGTATTCGCATAGGCAATGGTCAGATTTACGGTGGATTTACGAGATTTCAGAGTCTCGGTAGTTCGGCTTTCCAGCCTCGATAGGAAGAACCATGATGGTGATGGAGTCCCCAGAATTAGCATCAAATATTTTTTCGAGCAACCAGTGCCGGTAGATCTCAGAGCGACGCCAAAGAGCATCCCGCTGTTCCTTGGAGACTTTCATTCCAACCTCTTCCCTGAAACATACCAACGTCAGTAGAGTCCTCAATTGCTTAGACTGGATTATGCGGATGGCTTACCACTGCCAGTGCAAGGCTCTATGGACGAATGGAGGTTTTCCATGCTTCTTCTCGTAATCGAGGCGGAAATCAGCCGAGTTTTGGTACTGGTCGTGATAAAAGGGGAGAATTCCGGCCTAGATACACTTTATCAGCACCCGTTTCACATATCTGGTGAACCCGAGAACGGACATCCACGAGATATTCTGCGATATCTGCATGCTCAGCACCATCAGGGCAGTCCCCCTTCCATCGCTCGGCCAGAGAAATCTCTGTGCGCGTCACAAGAAAGGCCGACTCAAGTCCTGAAACAAACTTGTCAATCAGGTGTGTTTGTGCGGCATTCGTGGTGGGCAAATAGTCCAGCGGATAGAGGACTCTTATGGGCATCTGATGGACATAAGCATCTAAGCAGAGAGACCGAGGGCCAGTTTCAGACCTTGGACGGTTGGCGAAGCATCGGAGACTGCCCATACCACGTGGAAATGAAGTCTGGGACCTTGGAGATGGCCCTGCCGAAGAAGACAGGCATGTCGAACTGTCTGCAAGAAAGCATATAAATGTCAATTTGCTGTCGTCTGGGCTCGGATGCGGAGGCTGTAGCTTACGGAAAGAAGCCGACTACCCCCTTAGTATTCAAGATACCGGTAGATGGGCGAATCGAGAAGCACCCGTTATAGGATGCAGGCTTACGTCCGCTGCCGTTAGCTGTGCGTCGTGTCAGCAGATACAAGCGGCTCGAATCCATAGGTAGGGGTTCAAACTGTCAGATCCGAGAGAGAAGTCAAGCCAGTCGTAAGAGCCAATACCGGCGGCGCTGGCGTGGCTGCTCCCGGATGGTACTTGGTATCCGTCACCCCGAGGGTTGAAAGGCGCAGTAAACTCGACACATTCCAACGGCTCTTCTCGCATGATCATGGCCTGTAGCTTGACCTTGCCAACAACGATTGCTCCAGCGTCTAAAAGAGTTTGGACGCAAGCGGCATGTGTCTTCTTGGCGGGA